TAGAGGACATGAAACAAAATATTTTTTAGGTTTTATATATACTTTTGAATAACTAAAAAAATCATAAATTACTACATATATACCATAGAATTCTACTATAATTTATCAAGCTTAGTAACTAAGCTGTACTTGGGTGTAAAAAAATATGAAATTTCGAGCAGACTAAAACACAACCTACGTCAATGAAATCTTGATCCAAAAGAAAGAAATGGTGGAAGGAACATTAGAAAAACTGATAAAACCACTAAGGGTACATTCTGATCTTCCAATTGGTTATTCATGTCATATATAGAAGTGTATATAAGGGAGCATTTCCAAAAATGGAAAGAGGTGAGCAGGGTGCCACTATGTTTGATTTGTTAAGTGAGCAATATCTTAGCAAATAGAAAAGTTAAGACCTTCTTATTTTATATTCTAGCTTATCAATATCTGTAATTTGAGCTTCTAAATCGTATGAAACTATAGACTTAGTATTTTGACTTCACAAACATCTAATGTGAACCAGTGCTGCATTCAACATACCATGTGACACACAAAAATTGATGTTTATCTGTGTTTTTTTAATATTTACTTTTAAATTAACAAATTGAGTAATGTATAATTCTAAATCTGAGTTACAATCTACAGTTTGGTACAAACTAATTGAAATAAATTCATGAAATAGTAGTTCAATAAAATTTTGAATGCGAGTCAACAAATGAGATGACATGGCCTTTCACCTGTGACCTGTCTCGAAAGGGTTAAATAGATGAGAGTACTTGTAATCCAACAAGAAAAAGATTCAAAGACAGCCTAATGAGCAAGAAAAAGGAACTGATGGTAATAGACTAAATATAAATCCCATAAAATATGAAAGAAGCACAAGAAAAAACACATCAGAACACTAGCAGTGCCAAGGAAAGATGAGCCTGTGTTCACGTGCTAGAGTTCATGGGGATTACTGCACATGGAGGATGTGTTGCTCTCCTATTGGTGATGTGCTATAGTTTAATGATGATTACATCATCAGCTGATGCAATACACATTGACACATGTAGGAATGGGAGGTTTGTTGAAAGCCTCTGGCATACACAGGAAATTATATGAAAGTGTGCACAAGGTAACAGCTCTTTGTGGCAGAGATGTGAATAGCATTCCTGGACTTACATCTTTAAAGTTTGTATTCAGATACACTGATGTCTATTTTAAAGTTACAAGTTTCTGCAAAGTGCAAGTTTCGGAAATGTTTTGCAGAGAATAATTTTCAGTACAGTTAGCAAAACAAAAACAAGCTCACACTAGTGTACAAATAAAGGAAGAATCTTTATCCATATATAAAAGAAATTCTTCTCTGAACAAGCTAGCATCTAAGTTCATGATTGAGGCTACAAGCTGATGGGGTAGAAAGCAAGATTAAATCAAAATGTCTGCATAATGCAGAGATGAGATCAACAATAATCAAACTACAATACTGTAGTATTAGACCAATGTTCAGGTGTGGTATCATAAAATTATTAAATTATATATTCTTAAATTAATAATTCTCAATACACATATTCAAGGGATATATGTCTTTATCATACTAAATTGTACAAGTTTCTGTACCTCCCTTGAAATGAATATAACCTTCAATTATTGACACTAGCACACCTATGAGAAAAACTAAGAAGAATGGTTGCACCACAGTTTCTGAAGAAAGAAATATTTTGCATAGATAAAGCATTTTCCCTTTGTATTCAGTCAGAGCAAAAAGTATTAGAAATTGTAAAGCACTATAAATATGATCCCAAATTATACACTGTTAATTAAATAATTTTAAGTCACATAAAAAATAAAAGTTTGCTAAAATAGCTATAATCTTATTTTAAAGTGAATCTAAGTAGTTTTTTTAACATTGTCCAGTTCCTAATAAGCATAAAATGCAAAATGGCCAGGTATGCGAGTCAAGTGACTCAGTTACTGAGAAAATAGTGTTTTTAGTTATGCTGAATTATCCAGTGTTCCTACTAGGAAACATAGATCTTACGTGCTTAAACTGCTTATGTAGTCTCCCAATTACATGCACTGTTTATTGATGCTCTGTGCATGATGTGTTGCATTTGGTACTGTATGAGATTAACAGAATTGAGTTTAACACATCACAACATTGTCTATTGACAAAATAATGAACCTTGGTGTGAGCTAAACTAATGAGATGAAATAAAACTTAAAGGTTTTAGGCCAATGGGTACTTATATAATATGCCTTTACCTTTCTTTATTTATAACGTATTACATTTTAAAAGGTGTACAACCATTTTTATACACTGTGTATTTCTCCTGGCTTTTCATAAAACAAAAAACCTGTTATTTGAAAATGTTACTAAGATCCATCCAAGGTTTTAAAAATGTATGAATTAGTCACAAATTACAGTTACAGTGAAATGATGTACATGTAACAATAGACTTTTCAAATAGTTTATTATATAATTTAAGATTGAAACACCTTGAATGAATTATAATGTTAAAGAAATTTCAACACATCATTTTACTACTACTATTAAATACATTATAAAATAGTGAATGTGCAGAATGAAGTGATTTACAAGAAAAAAGTAGTAAAACCTCAGATGAATTGTTTTTTACCTGCTAAGAATCTGCTGTCTCAATTCTTTGTCATCCAAAATATTCTCTGTGGCTCCACGGCGAGAAGGCTTATTTTTTGAAACTTTTGGCAGAGGACCTGTCAAACTTTCATCTGTTTCTTGCCGTTGAAGAAGCAACTGTGCTGCTTTCTGGCAGTCACCATAAGAAACACTAACACAGTGTTGAATTTCCAGTGTACAAGTGTTAGGAAACATTTCTGTAAGAACTTGAATATGTTGTGATATGTCAGTTTGGTCATCCTGCAAGACATAATATTTTTGTTTGTAGGTATACAACACGTGAGACATGCAAGTTTTATTAAGAATATTTCTGAATTGTTTAGAAAATTAGTATGGATATTTAAAGTTGTCTCTACTCTTGTTTCTTCTAACTTGAAAAAGCAGCTAAGAATAAAAATTAGTATTATCATTTTATAACTATGCTCTTTGACTAAGATGGACAACTCAAAATATATTTCAAACAAACTAGCAAATACATATACAGTAGAACTTTTTTTACCATGGCATTACTGCAGAAAAAGTCTTCTTCTGACTGGCTAGAATTACTAGTGTTTCTAGATCGTGATTGGCTAGAAAAGCTGGGATAGCAGTTACTGGAGCTGCCTACTGAAGAACAACTCTGACTGGAACCACTGCTATTACGAGAATGGCAATATTTGTAATTCCCAGGAAAAACTATTGAAGATGGTATATGGTTTTCACATGGTAGTGAAATATCTTCATTTTTTCCATGTGAAAGCTCATTTTGAGTTTCAGCTGTCCAAAATTTGTGTGGAACATTCAATTTCGAGCCTAACAAATAAAATTCATGTACAATATGATATGTAAATAAAAAGTTAAGATGAATCATTTGAATAATATATTTATATATATTTCAAAAATAAAAACTGGAACATTTGACATACACTAACAAAAATGCTTAGTTTTGATTGAGAAATTGAAAGTTTCTTACTGATGTCTTATATAGAAATTGATTTTTTTTTTCAAAAGAAAAATTTTCTTACAACTTGAATAAAGCAATTATTAAAATGTTAAAAAAATCAAATCAAATGGTTTTGGCTAGTAACTTCAGCAAACCCTTTTTTAAAAAACTATAAGTTTAAGAATCATAAAACACTTGGTTTTCAAAACTTTTATTTTCTTGTACTACATGTTGTATTCACAATAACAAAAGGGGGTCATTGAAGTTTTTGGTTGTACCAATGAGAGTTATAAAATTTTCTAATGCATTTACAATATTAATTCTTAAAGCTGTTCTACAAACCAATCTGATACAAGAGTTCCACATACCAATTTAAGGATCTCAAAAAAAATTTTTTTTTCTTGTCTGATCTCCTAAAATGTTTTAAGATTCACTTGAAATAAGATGCATAGAAATTTATCCATTTGACACAAAAAAAATAATTACCACAACTAAATTATTATTTTAACATACTTCTATTTACTTCTGATATACTATAACAAATGCATATTACCACATTTATTACTTGGAGTTCAGTAACACCTAAAAAAAGCTTTAATAATCTAGAAAAACTGCTCAGACCTTTGCCTGAAGATGCCAGTTTTCTTGCAAACTCAAACATCCACTCACAAATGGCTGCACTGTAATAAAGATAAAACACTATTACATCAATAATCTCAATACATCTAGGTACGTTAAGCTTTGTTTCAAGGGGAAAAAATAACAATTGTAGGAACACTTAACTTTCATGTATAGAGAATTATGAAAACATCATTAATATAATTTTGATTAAAGTTGTTTGCTCCATCATGATCAAGATTAAATAGAGCTTTTCTTTTAAAACAAGTCTTATAGAATTTTTTTTTTAATAGAAAAAAAAGAAATGTATTTCAGGTGGCACGTGACACATATACCTCCCTCCCCAGTTATGCACCTATGTTGATAACGAATTTTTCATTAAAAAAAAAGAAAAGGATTCTTTGCTAATTCTATTCAATAAAACAAAATTTTAAATCTTTATGGTCTTTACTAGTCAAAATGTTGAGAAATGATTCTCTTCATAATCCATTTAACAAATAACAATGCAAGGTCAAATGGCAACGTATACAAAATTTTATTAGTGTAAAAATGTACGTTCATACGATAAAATTAAAAAAAAAGGAAATAAGTGGATTTTTTACATATCAATATCCATGAAAAAAACATTCAGAATAACAATATTACAATTTTATTAACGTTTTACCAAATGTAAGAAAAATGTTTTTTTATTAAGTCTAATTAAATATTTAATGTAGATTTCACATATGCATTTTTTAATTTATTCTGTTTCCTGGATATTTGTGAAAAGCTATTTTAGGGCTGTCTGTGTTAGCCACCTCTAATATAGAACTGATAGACTAGAGGGAACAGAGCTAGTTAACAGTACTAACCTCTACCTCTTTAGAGTGTCTCATCTAATTGAAAACTGGATTTTCACTGTCACTCTTATAATATACCTACAGCCCCAAAGTGTGGAGCGCAATTTGTTTTTTTCAGTAACGGAACATGAATGATGGACCCACAGATCTAAAGTCTGGCACACTAATCAGGCCATGCTGAGCCCCTTTTTTCATTTATAATTTAGTTGTTTATGCTACTAGTAAAGCAATGCACTGATGATAGATATATAATTAAAACCTTCTACATTTTTTTTCTTTTGATAAGAATTGCATATTAGTAGAGTAAAATTAAGTACCTGTAAATGACTTTCATTCTGGCATTACCTGCATGACACTAATATTGAAAAAGCAGCAAATGGACACAGTTTCAAGAAAAAGGCATTTAGGTTTTCAACTAACTCAAAATTTCAATTCTAATTTCCAGAAGTTTTACTAATTTTTAGAATTTAATAGTTGTAATAATGCATTCACATAAGCATAAATAAAACACATACCAGTTATGACTGAAATTAGTAACAGACTGCAGCTACCTTAATTCTCATGATAGCAAGTAATTAAAGGTTGATAAACCACTAAAACCATAAATAAGAATGGATTATTTTAATTATGATATTCTATTACATCTACCCATATGAATAAAAAGCTTATGCACAAGCAGACACGGCCATTTTATGACAAATAATAACCTAAATTATGTTGGATATAAAAACTTACAATATATGATTTATTATAAACATGTTTTTCTATGAGAAAAAATTCAGTCTCATTAGGAAAGGATCAACATCTGATTAAAGAGTGATCATCTAAAGTTGCTAGGTCATCCATTCATCAACCAGACTTTGGTCTCTGCATAACTTTGAACTGCATGTTACAATTAGGTTAGAAATTATTCATTTTCATTTTGTCAAGAACAAAGAAAATCATGAACTAAGTTTGGTGTAAATTAGTGTTTGTAGGGTATTACCTATTAGATGATTTATCACTAAATGACTCCACATGTATGTATTGCTCTGTTTAAAAGTAGAAATATTTCTCTCCTTTATTATACCTGTTAATTGAACTAAATGCTGGAATATATGCAGCCATCATCTCAATGAACTGATCCACATCAAAAGCATCAGCCACTGCATCAGAATTTCCTAAAGACTGCAGTATACTTACTACATAACTGAGGATAATTTCATCTATGATCCTAAAAAAAAACACAAAAGTAGACTGTGATGACCACATAACACATATAAAGTAGATAAAATACACTAAATTAACAGTATATTAGAATCTGTAAATATTTCTATTTTTTTCTCAATCTACTAAATGTATTCTTACATATTTATTACACTTCTCGTTTGACAATTACTGTATAATTTACTTCACATTCTGCTAAAAAACTGCAAGATTATTTTAAATAACGTTTAATCATAAGCAAACCAAGGTAGTCTAGAATAAGGATCAGAATAATACTTGTTACAAAGCTTAAAGTTACATAAGTGACAATTTGTATTGACAAACATAGAAAAGATTTTTAGAAAACAGAAACATTTTAGTTATGCTGGGTAAAAAATGTTTCCTTAACAGACCATTCTATAAACTTGAATGAGTTTAGGATTGGAATATTGATAAATTAATAGATTTCATCTTGAAATCATCTTCTGACTCTTAATAATATCATATTATTAAACAGCTGTTACAGGTATTACATCTAAAAATTTTGAAATTTATTCAAAAACAAAGTCTGAAAAATCTCCACTTTGTCAGGTTATTTTACTAGATTGCTATTTAGCTGTAATAAGTATGCTCTTGTTAATGGTTTATTCCACATCCTTGTTTGTTGTTATCTAAACATACAAACTATTCTTGTATCACCTCAAGTAGTCGTGGACAATATTAATGGTGTTTATGAAATGGTTTATTTTGTAAAGGTTTGTTGGTGCTTTTCTGTACTTAGTATTCATTCCCCAAGTCTACTGATACTTTCAATTCTTGACTATACATGAGAAAGCTGAAGTGTAGTGTGTGTTCTCATCAGTAGAAGTGGCAGATCTGGATTCCACATATTCCATCTCATACATATAAACATGACCAACAGGTTTAGCACAGTCCTGTTGCAATGTTCTATCATTACAATTAAGAAGTAATGAGGGCTTCTGCCATTTTGTTTTTTTATATTCTCCAGATGTTATAATTTGTAGTAAATGACACAAGCTCAAATTTTCCTCTTTAATTACAATGAAGCTCCATTAGACAAACTCACCAATCAATAACTGTAAGAGCGTTTCAGCTTCTTGGTCGGTACAGTTTCAGTATCTGGTTATTTAATAAAATAATTTGTCTTTGTCTAAATGTATCCTTTATTATTTGACTATAATAATGCACTTTTTACAATGTTCACAGAACACCAAAGTTAACATTTTCCTAAAAAAAAATTAATTTCCAACAGATACTTACCCCCTCTCACAATATAGCTTTACTTGATTGGTACTGCTCTCTATTGGTGCAACTTTTCAATGCTCAGCACTAGTCGCCCACCTCCTGCTTCTGCTTATCCAAATGCAAATGATCATGCATCAGCTCTCCACCAAGAGGAGTGTGACACAACTCCTATTATAAGTGGGAAGTGCAAGAGGTGGTAAGTATCTGTTGGAATTACATTTTCAGTGTAGGAAAATGCTAACTTCTGGTACAATATCTTAACTCTTCTCACAAAATAGCTGGTGAAAAAAATTATCCCCCTTTAGGAAGTGCTCAAAAATAGACCTCAGCAGGAGACTGCACCACATCTGATCCAGGTATATTCTTCCTTCTTTTATGACTGTGTCACAAACATAAAAGGTGGAAAAACATGAAGAAATCACAGAATATGTATGACCGATTAATGGGACCCCTTGGTGTCATGTGGCTATGGTGTGACAGACCATAGTAGTAGTTTGACCTTGTCCAACACCAGGCAGTATCTGGAATGGTACATCAGATCCGCAGTAGGTAGAGGATCACCTATCTCTTCACCTGGAAGTAAGAATTGGTAGAGAAGACAAGCTTCTGTACCAAAATCCACCTCCACTTGCACATGTTTCCAGTAGTACCAATATCAAATCCGCTGGGAATCGACATCCAGTGGATAGTAGAAAGGTTGAAAGCATCGGCAGGATAACATCTCCGGTCAAAACCTGGCGACAGTTGGTATGGTACTTCCAGTCCACAGTAGGAGGAAGATACCCGGCTGTGTACAAGCAGGAAAATGTGCTATGTCCAGCTACAACCGACACCAGATTTGCCGGGAACTGACATCCAGCGGACAGTAGGAAGAGGGATCATAAACCTGCAGTGCATCTCCAGTCCAAAACCTTGTGTGAGTGGGCAATTGTCACCCAGTCTGCAGTAGGAGAAGGGATACTGGCCAGCACACATGAGGACTTATTTAGCTGGACCATATCCAACTAATGCCGGACCCATTGAAAATGTACATCCAGAAGATGGTAGGTAGGAGGAATGTCTCAGCATGAGGGGCAAACTGCAATTATATATATATATATATATATATATTCGTGATATGATGGAGTGCTTCAACCAAAACCTGGTGGCATCTGGAATTCTACATCAGGTCCGCGGTAGTAAGGTTGTCATACCATCAACATATGATTGTAATCGTGACCAGGTCATCTCCAACCAACACCAGACCCACCTGGAATGTACCTCTGGAGGATGATAGGAAGGAGGAATGCCACGGTTGAAAAAAGCAATTAGTTATATAAATAGACAGTAATATGGCATAGTGCTACAACCAAAACCTGGTGGCATCTGGAATTGTACATCAGTTCCGCTGTAGGAAGTGCTATACACCATCAATACCTGCAGAATGCCACCACTCTAGTCTCAACTGAGTGGTATGATTCATCACTGAGGAGGATAGGCCTCCATAGTCCACCAACCCAGCGGCTACGAACAGTAAGTGGTAAGGAGTCTCATACTCCACTAGAAGAATGGAGGGTAAAATGCATTGGAGAGTCCAGAGGACCACATCACAAGAGACAGTGCAACGTATAACTGTGAAACCCTATTTTGAAAAGCAGAGCTACCACATTGATGGAGTCGATCAACCCAAACCTTACAGCATCTGGAATTGTACATCAGGTCCACAGTAGGAAGAGTCTCAATGCCGTGGAGCATCAGAGATGTGTAGCAATCTTTGCTTTACTTCTGTTACTCCATAAATGTATGGTCTGGGACAAACATATTTATGATGCAGAAAACCACTAGAGAGAACTACTAGCAGTCTTACAGAACACCCAATCTCAAAAGTGTGCATAACCCAATCCTGCAATGTAATTGTTTAGGCACAGATGACAATAAAATGAAGACATAACCTACATCTGGAGTTATACACAAGGTCTGAAGTAGGAAGGGTGATAACATAATTGACATCGAGCATGTTACAGGATGGTCAGTGGATATTTAAAAAAAAAAAGTATACCTGGTCAAGCACCACTTGCTAAAGAGTGAGATCCACAACAACCTAGCTAAAAAGACCCCTGAAAAAGTAAGAAAAGTTGAAAAAAGCAACCTTTCATAATTCCAAAACATTTAAATAAATAATAAAGAAAAGCTAAGTCTGTAGAGGTGATTAATGAGTGCAACTGTGAAGAGGGCACTGACAGGAGTTGTGTCATGCTCCTATTGGTGGAGAGTTGCTGCATGATCATTTGCATGTGGAGATGCTGAAGTGGGAGGTGGAAGGCTAGTGATGAGAATGTAAAATTTGTGCTGATAGAAGGCAGCACTAATCAAGAAAAGTTATTCTGTGAGAAGTTGTAAGATATAATTTTTGCTTGCCACTAGCCTTGATACTCCCACTTATCCTTACATATGTTAGTGTGAGATATCTGCATATTAACATGCAAATGATTATGCAGCAACCCTCCACCAATAAGAGTGTGACTATCCCTATCATAACTAGCACCCTCTCTAATCTTACAGCTGTTAACCATTTCAAGATTGGCTAGAACACACCAAACCACACTGGAAGCGGAAAGGATGGGTGGCAAATGTGAGAGGAGGTTAGTATCTATTGGAAATACATTTTCAGTTTAGGAAAATGTTAACTTCTGATATGATATCTTATTTCTGCTCATAAAAAGCTAGAATCCCACAATGAACAGGTGGAGGGCTGGTGAGAGGATGAACCAAAGGAGAACCATGGGTGTGAGAAAAAACTAAAAACAACACACCCATGGGAGACTGCACCACTTCTGAACCAGAGCTATACTCTTTGCCCATTAGTAATGTGTTGCCAAAAGGGCGAAAACAATTGTGAAACCCAAGAAAGTACAGAAATAAAAAGGGACCTCTCAGTGAAGAGTGGCTAGGGCACAACAGACCATAAAGGGGAGTTTGACCTCAACCAACACCTGGCGACAATTGGAATTGTACATTAGGTCCATGGTAGGAAGATGGTCCTCTATCTTTCACGTAAATAATGGGTAACAGCAGGGCATAGGAACTTCTATACTAAAAATCTGCCTCCACAGGCATGCACCTCCCACACAACCAATACTAGATCCACTGGGAACTGATATCTGGCAGACGGTAGGAAGGTGGAGAGCTCAGGTCTAAAACCAGGAGGCACTGGAAAGTTATCAACCAGTCTGCAGAAGGAAGATGGTACCCAACCGTATACTGGGGGAAATTGTGTGTCTCATCCATCTTCAACCAACACCAGATCCACCAGGAACCAACAATGAGGGGATGGTAAGATGAGGGATGGCTATATAGGGATTGCATCTCCAGTCCGAAACTTGGTGGCATTGAAATTTTATCATCCATTTCACAGTAGGAGTAAGGTAACCATCCAAATACATGTGAGGACTTATGTGGCTGATCCAGCTTCAACCAACACCAGATCCACCAGGAATCAGCATCCAGCAGATAGTAGGAAGGATGGTGCCTCAGCCGGAGAGACAAGTGCAATATATATATAGATAGGGTGGAGTGCTACATTCAATACCTGGAATTGAAAATCAGGTCCACAGTACAAAAGGGTGTCATGCCAACTACACTTGCAGAATGCCATCAATCCACTCTCAACTCAATGGTATTCAGCACACTCGGGTGGACATGCCTCCATGGTCCACAACACCAGCAGCTAGGAAAAGGTTAAATGGTAAAGACTCCTATACTCCACTAGAAGATGGAGGGATATAATGCATTGGACAGTCTGGAGGACTGCAGCACTGGAGACAGTGCAATGGGTGACTGTGGTATACTATTTTGAAAAGCAGAGCATTCACATCAACTAGAGTTAATCAACCAACACTTGTCGACATCAGGTAGGAAGAGGCTCAAATGCCATGGATCATCAAAGATTGGCAGCTATCCCTGTCCGCTTTACTCATGTTAGTCCATGAGTGTACGGTCCAGGATGAACATATTCATGAAGCAAAAGACCACAAGGTATACCTACTAGCAGTTCTGCAGAACACCCCATCTTAATGGTGAGTATAATATGTAATATGACCTGGTAATGTGTTATGACATTGAATTTTGAAAGCATAGAGAACATACTGATGGAGTTGATCAACAAACACCTGGCAGGATCTAGAACTGGACATGAAAACCGTGGTAGGAAGAGACCCAATGTTATAATAATCTAACATGGTATTTGATTACAGGTCTTACAGTGTGGACTTAGGACTAAGTACACCTGATCAGGCAAAACTTGCCACAGACTGTGATCCAAACATGTTAGAAAGGCCGCTGCAAAAAAAAAAAAAAAAAATAGGATGGAGTACTTAACACTAACAGAGAAACAGAGGAGAGCAAATTGGTGACAGGTATGTGCAGTGATCCACATACCAGCACTGATGATGTCCTCCAAGAGAAGATGGAAATGTGCAGCCAGGAACAAGGTAAAGTGATGGAATGGATGAGAAGAAACATGACAAATCTGATAATTATCAGGAGAAAGGGAAAATATGCCAGGCAAAGAAACTGGTGAATCCAACCTACAAGGATAATGGGAGAAAAGTAATAGGAGAGGTTAGGATTCCACAGAATAAACCAACAGAATTGGGAACCACAGAAGGGAGCAGTACAAGTCATATAACACTGGAGAACCCTGACCAGGCAAAGGAGGCAGTTGGGATTGGAATGGTCAGAAAGGTGGAATACAGAGGGAAGGGAAATGGGTATGACAGTAGAATTATCCTCTCCAGCAGTCAAAGTTTTGGGCATAAAGGAAAAAATCAGGAAAGGAGAACATAGAAACTAGGAAACAAAACATTATGATCAGTAACAATGAGTACATCAGAATGATGCCATCTGTATGCCAACATGAGCAGGAACAGGGAATTCAAGAAAAGGTAATTTAACAAAGACAAAGGGTTAAATGGAGGATGGAGGATCACAATGAGGTTCCAATCAGGGAGGGAAGCAGGGTGGGGAGGATGGGAAATGTAGAAGGAATGAAACAACATGGACAAGACTAGCAATGGAAAAAAAAACAAATTTGATAAATGGAAATGTGGCAAATAATGCTGCCCTATAACCCTCAACAGAGGAAACCGAAAAGGCCCCTGTCAAAAAAGGTTGTTATGGAAGGAACAGCAAGATGGGAAGAATGATAACTCCATTGGACAGACTAATAACAGTATGTGTTCCACTTACATTGGTCAACTACCAAGGATGAAGGATGGGAAACTAAGGATGATACATACTGTGAAAGTCTGGCCCTTCAGGTGAGGGACCAAACAAAAGTCCCACATGAAGACAGAGTACGAGAATTGGATGGGTGATGCACACTGAAGAGGGGCAGATGTAGGATGTTGCAGATAAAGGAAGAGAGTGACAACAAAAGAGGATGCAACAGAGGAAACCATGATGGAGCCATCCAATACAGAGCCATTAACAGATCACAACATGGAGTGGTCTGAATTATGGCAAACACACAGGGTAGGAAACAAATAGGGGGATATGTATATAGGGACCAACTTAGGCAATCCTGAATGACAGCATCGACTGCTCCCACCAAAGGATGAGGAACAGGAGACCAAAATCAGGGAAGTTGTGTATTAAGATGAGGGAGAGTGGGAGTATCAAGGCTAGTGGCAAGTGAAAATTTGCATCAAGAAAACTTTTTGTGAGAAGAGGTAAGATATCATATTGGGATTTCACATTGCAGAAAGTTTGTAGAAATTAATGTCCCTAGCAATTTTGACAGTATCATTTAAAACTGTACTTCATAGTCTCCTGTATTTTCAATTTTTACATATAATGCCCTATTCAAATTAATACTTTAAAATGCTGCTGTCTGCAAAGATGGCTTTTGTGATTCATTATTTTGTTCAATGAAATAGAGATAATATATTTAAGCTGTTTGCCTGAAGATCCTAGAAATGTATTCTGGGCCATTTACATTTATGTGTATTCTGTAAAGACACTCTTATATTGTCAGTTTCTTTCATTTTAATCTAAACATTCTTAACATTCATAATTTTTATACTTAGGTCTAAAATTTTCCACAAAGTGCACTACAATAACTTTGTCACATACAAATATCAAAAGATTAAGACAAATCTCAACATACACACTTTTTCCTGAAACCAACTCCAAAAATGTCATTTTTTCCCTATATCTAAGAAACAATACAGTATATTCACAGAGAAACTTCTTAGAGCAATTATGGCCTTAGGCTCTTCTTTGGCTGGAATTTCCTGATTATTTGCAGTTCACATCAATCCACTTTATTTCTAATAAGTATAAGAAGGAAATTTCCCAACCTTAGAAATGATGTCTGGCTGGATAATGATAACTCTGGGTTTAATGTTAATTATTAAGTGGCAAGACTTTCCTTTGGTAGTTTGACTACCATGTAGTTAAGCCTCTACAAATGTCAAGTTTCTTATTAGGAATAGAAACTTTTCATTAAACTGAAATTTGCAGTCTACAGCAAAACTAAAACAACTAGGATAGTGTACTAAAATCTCAAGATTAGTCTTACCTAATTTAAATGTTCACATAAATTAAGCTTTTTGTCAAACCAACTATCCTATTGATTTTTCTAATTCCAGAGGGAGCTGTCTGCAACCTTAACAAACTCAAACTACAGAGCAATTTGAATAAATACTTCCAAGGTAGTGATCAAACTAGGAATTAGTCTGATGTTCATACCTTAATCTTAAATGACTGAAATACATAGTAATGAATCTACTACCTCTTGGAATACATCCTCAGCATGGTTTGTGAGAATTTTCCATACTTCATTGCTCAACTACTAAAACTGACTTATGAAACTTTCTTGTGGAAAGTCATTTTGAAACAAATAAACAAACAAAGTACATATTAACCATTTATGCACTGTGTAGGGGGTTATTGACATCCCTTGTTTTTTCCCCTTTTCAGAGTAGAAATACCCAACAAGAAATAGCTTATTATATTCACAACAGATAATAATTTCTTAGCAAATATAAAATTTTGTTTTGGGATGGGATAAAACTCTTAAACAAATTGTAGAGTGCTATGTTTACAAGCAAGAGCCATCAGGTCTATGCAGAAATGCAAGTTTGAAATTGCTTTCATTTTTCTTAGCAAATTACCCTAATTTGATATTGAAATAAGATATTAATTCTCAAATATTTTTGACTTGAAAACTGTTGAAGCAGAATTGCAAATGTTTATTAAAATTTGAAATATGTAATTTAGATGTGCACTTTGCACCTGAAAGGTGCTCACCAGTTTTAACCCATTGACTGCTGATTCACCATACAGGGTATGGTCCACACCGGGCAGTTGAATGCGAGTGTGGTGTATACAGTGTATGACTCACAAAAATTTCATGTGCGTTTAAAGCAGCCACAGTCAAATGGTTAATGTTTTATGATAATATTTAGCTTTCCTGTAGTACAGTAGGGAAATGTCATATGTATCTGTCCCCTCACTTTAAAAACCACCTAAACATATATGTATTTTCTACAATCTACAATTTTTGTGTGTGTGTGTGAATGTACGTGTTGAATTGGATTGCAATGGTACCCTCCCATTGTAGAAATTAAACTGATCGGAAACTTCTGACTTCTCTTTCTCACCTTGTGATGGTTTCTATGGCTGTATCCCAAATTGTACCCTATGAGAAGTGTAGTGTACTATTCTGGTTTATGGCTATCTTTTAAGGTGTCCCAATGCTTTATGGAGCATACAAAGTGCATATCAATGCATCCCTAAAAGTATCGTTTGTTGAAGTGCAAAAGCAATGTACACTTTCAGGAAGAGATTTCATTATTTTAAACTCAAAAAATGCCACATTAAAAAAAAATATTAAATAGGATTGGTGGAAAGACTCCAGGAAGTGGGTACAAATCTGTTTTTAAATAAAATGGATAAAGTTATAACTTTCAAAAATGCTGAAATCAATTTTACTTATTTGTTTAAACATCTGTTTATATATATTAAAAGTGGTACCATTTATTGAAAAAATAAGTTTTTTAAGGGCTTCAGTTTCTCAGTACTACATTCAAAAATTACATCAATAAAGATACAATCAAACTCTCATGTACAATCCTAGTGAAAGTCATGTGCTTATCGTGAGGAGAATACTTTTATTTAAAATTATGTTCTTTTATAAAGAAATAGTTGTTGCACATATCACAGTTATTTTTCTAATTGTATGAATCTTGAATATCCAAAGTGTGAAATTTTTTATGAATTTTTGTTTGTGGTGTCATTCAATAGATAACAGGATTTTTTATTACAAGCATAGATACTGACATACACCTTACATCCATTATAGTATGATTATCAATGACAGAAAATATGCAACTGAGACTACAATATATTTACATTATTGCCTAAATATTTCCCTCAAGGAATATTTCATATTACATTAAAATACACCATCTAGCTAAAATATTAGAAACCTCTATCTATATAATAGACTGTTCCTCATTTCATGTTTATACAAAGTAGATTATTAATGTATTAAGAAATATAAAAGCAT